AAACCATCCTATCAGGTACTAGGTGGACAGAGGCGAACAAAACTAAATTGCCTTGTCCAAAGACACAAGCAATGCTACAGGCGTCGGTCTTGAACTCCCAATCTCATCATCAGAAGTCTAACACCTTACATGCTGCGATACAAGCTTGTAAACACTAGTCACATAACACAGCTTGTATACATGGGAACTGTTGATTTGACCACAAGTTTTTAACTCGTAACAATTTGTAAGAACTGCTATAGTAGCTGATACATTTCTTTGTAAAAACAAACCAACTCATTAATTGGCTTCCATCTTGCCTTCTTCAAATTTCCTCAACAGCATTCCACTCTAACATAAAATACTTAGATATTTCATTAGTGATGTACAGTATGCGGAGATGCCCAGCCAAAGTCTTAAATCATCTGTGACACGAATACTTCCACTTACAAACATTTACAAGAGCCTCTCTTTTTTTCAGGTAGACGAAAACAAATCTATGATTTCTAATTTATTATGAATGCTACTACTAAGCGATTTGATGATACTGTACAGTGGAATATTTAGGCAATGATCTATAAGGTGATTAACACCCCCTCATCTTACGATGTCATTATGGGGATGGTGCAATACATCAGTAGAAATAAAGTATAAGCACTAAAGATTACAGCAGCTATAGATACAAACCAGCTACAAAGCTGCCTTAAACCAAACTGCGATATTAAAGTTAGACATAACTGAACTGATCGTATTTCTAAAGTGATATGATAGATGCCTTAACGTTTGGAAAGTAGGATTTTATGGGAGAGTATTAGATTAACTAATAAAAAAAAAAAATAGATATTACACAAATTACAAATTATTATAAGGTAAAAGAAAGCCTATCTTCTGGGACCTACAATGGACAACGGATTTTTAAAACCTAGCACTCCAAAAATTATAAAAAATAACAAACCCAAGAAAGAATCTGATCTTTTATCGGTATTTGATTATTTTAAATGAAAAATTAAAAATTTTATTAAATTTTGCTATAGGATGTTTATACATATACTAAGCCTACGGAAATATCTTTATTACAAATATTTTCTTTCAATCTGTGGCTATTTTCCATGTTAATATTTTGTGATAAATATCCTTTAAGTAGGCCAAATAGATATAATAATAATATTATTATTGTCATACATGGTACAGTACTATTAATATGTCTTTGTGGGTATTAGACAGATTGCATTTATGAATGAATAAATACTTATTGTTAAAAACACATGAACACACCATTTTTAGACACCATAACAAGAAGTACCATGTTGCTTGCATAGCTTACATTTGGTTTTAAATTCAATGTTTTTTCAATTTTAACATTAAAACATAGACATCATTTTTAAATCACAGCACAGCCATAATCTTGTATAAATTACATTTGCAGGCATCTTAGGGATTCACATGTTTACAACTACCTAACACAATACAGCATGGAGGCTCATTAGCGTAAATCTGCAAGTGACATACTGTATTCCCCAGGTCCTTTATGTGTACCAATATGACGCTTGTTACGTCATACGTGGTGCTTGAAAGTTTGCCATGATCCTTGGCAGACGGCCCCTGATGGACAGCTGCTATGATTGTTTTAAAACATAATTATTAAAGTGGCTTATCTCAGAAGGTATGTAGGTGTGTATGTCTCAGAAAGTTTAAAAGCTCCTCAATCCTACCCACAGTGGAAATTTATGACAAATACAACTACACTCAGTAATTAAAATTCACCTCATTCCTTCAACTACACTTGTTTTTTTATACGGACACACTTTGTAAGTACATTGAGACTAAACTTGCTAAAAAAAAAAAAGAACAAAATAAGAACAAATTTACGCTTAGGTAAATTGTCAATTGAGGTTTTCATTTTAAATAGAAAAACCAACAAATGCTATCTGTACCTTATGTGCAGCAGGTATGATTTTGTAATACTCTCTATAATGTTTTATCTTTGAAA